CATAACTCATGAATTGCACATACGGAAGTTGCATACTGATATGCATAATGTTGTTATCGATTGCAAAACACGAGGGCCATTTAGGTCCCTGGCAATGTTACTCGAGACACATTATGGTCCTTGACAAAATGCACAGTGGACTTAATGGTCCCTAACTTATTGCATAGTTATGCATGGAATGAATAAGCCATGTACAGATATAGATGCATAAATCATGAAATTGCTGTTATAGAAGTTCCATATTTAAAAGGGCCATAGTTGTGCACCAGGGCAAAATAAATACTGCCATATTGGCCCCTGACAAATTGCACGAGGACCATTTTGGTCCCTAACAAAATGCACGCGACCCTAATTGGTCCCCAAACAGATCAAAATAGTCACATTTCAAAACAGATGCTGTCCAGTACAAGTTCAAAACAGAAGACACATTTCAGTTACAGATGCTGTCCAATATGTCCAAACATAGGACAAAATTAAAAAACAGTCCAAAATTAAACAGATGATCAGAAAATTAAAAATTAAAAAACAGGAAAACAGTAGTGCATAATAACATGCATCAACCCTGCATCATTCATCAACCATCAACCAAAATAAATGGCACTTAACATGCATGTATAGAATATAACCAGTATCCACAATAATTGTCTTCCTAGAACTACAAAACAGTAGTGCATTACAAATAAAAGCCAACTAATAGGAATCATAAGTGAGGCCTATAAATACAGTCTTGGCTATGCATCAAAATGATTACATTATATCTGTAAAAGGCCTCCAAAAAAATGGCCAGAATTTACAAAAAAAGGGCATTATATCCACTCCTTTTCAGTTGGCTCATGCACTACTCCCTTGTTCTTCTTCATCAGCAGCTCATTTTCTTGAGGATCGCCTTGGTGGCATGAAACCAGGTGTTGTCATGAAGTGCATAAATCTGCTTCATGTGCCAGTGATGGCTGCCTTCATTGTCTCTTCAGTCAACACTGCATTTGCTTCTTCTGGATTTGAAGGAGGTGGGCTGCATCCTCTCAAGTTGACTTGTTGTGCCTGAGAACTACCAATTTCTGACGGGCCTCCTTGACTTAATGGGATTTCATTTACTGAGTCTGTGCCAATCCTCACAGATTGTGGTCTTGCTTGGCTCTTGTCTGTTTTGGAAGCTGGTGGCCCCTTACAACTCTTGCCATAGTGTCCAGTCTGACCACACTTACTACACTTGGCTTCATATGTCCTTTTAACTTTCTTTGTCATGCTCCCTTGGTCTTCAGTTGGGTCCTTCTTCCTGTGTTTCTTGGGTCGCCCAATTGGCCTTTTCAGTTTTGGTGGAAGAGGTTTGGGTTCATCAGATGCAGGCCAATACTTGTCCGAGTTCACTGGGTTTAAGGTGTGCTCATATGTGGCATGCAATGCATCAACTGTATCCCATTGATGGACATAGTTCTCGGCTGGCTCATTATTGTGACAAATTGCTGCTATAGCTTTCATTTTGTTGTTCCACGAACAGTAAATCATCCAATCACATTCATCATTACTACACTTTGCTCGGGCCCTCACTTTGTCATTCTTTAGCCACTTGAATTGTCTTCCTAGATCAATACTGTAGTCTTTGACAGTATTTTTAAATAATTGAAGACTCAAACTCCATTCCTACCTCTAAGTGTACATGACCAAACTCCTCATGCACATTAAACTTTGGATTGACAACCTTTTCATCCTCTTCAGCACCACTTGAAGGAGGCGTGTTCAACTCTTCAGAGTTATACCCATACCCACCCTCCTCGAACGACATTGACTTCTCATCCTCTTCCATTGTATTTTCCCTTGCCAACTCTTCAACCTGCTTTTTTTTCTTCCTTTTTTGCTTTTTTTTTCGACAACTTTACCCTTCCCCTTGCACTCCTCTTCACTCTCTGTTTCTGTATCATACATAGGTGGAGGAGGTTTATATGCCTCATCCTCCACACTATCTTCTGAATCAGTAGAAAACCCATGACCACTGCCACTGTCATCCTCATCACCATCACTGCCACCCTCATCCTCCAACCCATCACCACTACCACCCTCATCCTCCTATCCACCACTGCCACCCTCATCCTCCTTCCCACCACTGCCACCCTCATGTGCATGTGCAATAACTTCTTCCGGTGAAACATAGACAAGGGTTGCAATGCAATCTTCAAAATAAATTTCTATGAGATTGCCATTACTCAATGCAGCCTTGACCATCTCCACAATATCAGCGTCCGTATTCAAAGGCCTTAAACCTACATCTAAATCTGTTGCGTTTGGCATGAGCCACAACATTTGCTTACACGTCTCATACCCATAACCCTTGAACAGAGTATTAAGGTCACGCAGGTTGACGAAGTCAGCATCCATCTCAGGTAAGTCAACCACTTTTCCATTTACATAGGTTAGGACCCCTTTATCATCTCTCTTCAACACACCCCATGATGATATCTTATCACTATGTATTCATCCATCTGGAAAAAAAATCAACACAGGGCTATAAATTACAATAAATTCATGCGAACATCAGGGTCCACAAACCAATTTAAAAAATGGCAATAACCATATACATCAAACTCATCACTGCCGAGAGGGGGGACAAGCCAATAACATGGAAAAAAATTGCACCTTTACAAATTATGCATGCACTAAAAAATTGGTGACCACAATGCACTAAAAATGGCAATATACTTTACAAACCGGTAGTGAAGGGGACCACATACATAAATGGGTATTTTTTTTTTAAACCCTTACCATGATAACTCACAATGGAGCGCACATGGGGGACTATCCTCCAACAAAGAATAGACAACATGAGGTGATGGGGGACCACAAATATTGAAGATTTTCTAAAAAAACACTTACCTTACTGCATGTAAGAAAACCAGCACACTCGAACTTCCTTTCACCACCACAGGACCAGCCTTTCGACAACCTTCAAAGTCCACGCTCGATTGCCTTCCCTGCAACCACCGTCTTCGACAACCCTCACCGTTCAACGAAGCTTCCAGTGGAGGTCAACAATGGTCTTCCAATCATATGCAATAACTTAGTGAAAAAAACGAGTCTCCACGGTTACTTGCAGTGTTGGTGCCTCTTGATTTCTCAAGAATAAAACGACGTCGTTTGGTCCTTTGGAAAGCTTTGCAATCCTTTTGATTCAAAATGTCGTCGTCCAGCTTTCCACCGTGTCCACCGTGGAGTCCGCGTCAGCAGATAACGTGCCACATGGGCACCGTTAGTTTGACCGTGACGGAGGAGTTGACAGAAGGACTAACGTGACCCTTTTTTCATAACTTTAGGGACCAATTTGGTACTTTCATATTGTCAGGGACTAAAATGGATTTCGCTAATATTGCTAGGGACCAAAAAGGGTGTTTACTCTTAATTGATTTAAAATATGTTTTGATGACAATCAATTTAATGTTAATTTAATTGATAATATTTTATTGTCTTGAAATTACTAATGAGCTGATTGTTTGAGATTTCGGAATAATATTTATTCTGATTTGAAATAGTATTCAAGATAATTGAAGAATGCATGAAGATTGGAGAAGATATGGAAGATATCATGAAGAGAGAGAAAAGCATGAGATCAAGTAAAATTTAGGATATATTTAATCTTTTAGATTTCATGTAAGAGAAATAAAATATTCTTTGCCAAAGATTTGATTAGGATTGCATTGCATAATAGAATAAGATATTTACAGTTTACATATTTTTTATTTGAAAAAATTCAGATTTGAAATTTGCATTTAAAATTTCATTTAAGGGTAAAAGATCTTTGGTTAGATTTTAGAAAAGATTTCAAATTTAAATATTATATCTTTTGGGCTTTTAGGAGAGAGAGAAAATGTTATTATTATAGATAGGGCTCATTGCATATTATTTCATAGAGGAGAAAATACAAGAGAGAGAAGAGAGTAGAAAATACAAAAGAGAGAGGAGAGAAGAATATATAAGAAAGAAAAGAGAGAATTAGATTTTCAAGATTAAGATTCTTTCTTGTACATCAATTGAAGAGTTTTCTCAAGAACAATATTCACACATTTATCCTTTGGCAAAGTGAATATTTCTCTATAGAAATTCAGATTACCTATATGCTTCAGGAAAAGAAGCACCGAGGTAAATCATTTAGTTGTAAATTTCTTCTTGACATTTTTTAGGGTTTTTACTGGGAAACTTGGATACCAGTTCTTGTGCTGGGAAACTGGGATACTAGCCTGTCTCTTTTTCTTTAAAAATTGAAAGTGACTTGAGAACCCTTGTGTGATAGGGTTTCGGAATCCTAAAAGGTTAGAATTTCGTACTAGGAAACTAAGATACCAGTTGAATATTTGGGTAAGGGATAGAATAAGAAACTAGGATACTAGAGAATTCTTTGTACGCAAGTTTCATGGTGGAGTTGCCCGTCAATTTTAGTATTCGATTTTAGGGCCCGTGGTTTTTTTCCCCTTTGGATTTTTCACGTAAAAACTATTGTGTTAATATCTCTCTATCCTTATCTTGATTTATTGCTTTGAGTTAATTTTTAATTAGTAAATTATTTTTATAAAACTCAATTCATCCCCTCTCTTGAGTTCATCCGATCAATCTAAGGTGTTCTTGTTACAGAATTGCTCTCTAGATGCATCCAACTTCATTATAAGCTCCTCAAGTCACTCTTTTCCGATATGAATCAGAACAAATTTGAATATGCCATCTGAACATTTTCAAGTACACACGCATGTTACAACAGCACCTATGCATGAAATACCAGAGATAACAAAATGAAAAGGATAAGGATATCCAGATGAACTCAAATTGCGTGTTAAGGAACTCATAAAAAAGCGTAAAATACACAAATCAAAACAGGGATAGATAGAAACAACAGTCAAAGGCAACTTAGTTTATTTTTCTGCTCATGATTTCAGAGCAAAGAGGCCTTCTTAATAAATCAGAAAAAACAAAAAACAAACCCAAATGAAATCTTGCATTAAAGTCGTTACAATTATTTAAAGTATACAATTTACAATCATTCTCATTACGCATAGTGGAAGGGTAATTTCATAGAGTTGGACATCATAAAAGGTTGAACTTCTTGGTTAAAATATTATTTTCAATCAACCTACACTCCCCAATAAAATTATCAGTTAACATGTATGGTGAGAAAGGTTAAACTCCTGAGAACTACACCTTTATTACCCTCAAATGACTACTTATAAACTTATCAGTATTTATTCAAATTCAGAATTTTTCAGAATGATATTTACGAGAGTACAAAAGTGGAAGTACACTGCAGTAATAAATTAAGTTGTTCAACCACCACTTATTGGAGGTATTATGGCCAACTCATCTTTGTCTTTAACCATTGCTGACTCCGTTGTATACTCCTCGTTCAGAGCCAAAACCATGCACCCTCGTATTTCTTCCAAACTTGGAAACTTGGCAAGAATATTTTTCAAACAATCATTAGTAGTACTTCCAGATAGCACTTCCAATGGCATCTCACTCAGGCCAGTAAGATCGCGGGCTCTAGCAAAAAACAACACTTTTATCTTCACCAAACAACTTTCTTTCTTGCTGTGCGCGTCATCTCCATCCCAAGTCTTACTGTCTCCTTCCATGATATCTCCTTCCTTTATACAATAAGCAGCTAGAGACAAACTAGTGGACACAACTCAAGACATGTTTCCTGCAAAATGCTGAAAATTCAATCTGACAACATAAATCAATGTTCATAATTCACTAATAAAACTAAATCAGATGAAACAAACTCCATCAAAACCATTTCTGGCCGCTAAAATATTAAAACGGAAAGATCCTAGTTGTCTAACTGACAAAATAACACAAATATACAGTGAACATGAGAACAGGCTTTAGTAAGTGGATGTCATAGGCAAGTGTCACAACAGTCTTGGGGGAAGAACACAAGAGGCAATTAAATTCAAAAAAATTTGGAATTGCCACTAATTTTTATTTGAATTGGGAAATGATCAGAAAAAGAATATATATTTTAGTTAAGAACTTGTCTTTGAAGCAAACATTAGATTCGGGGGTATTACTATGTCCATGGAAAGATGGAAACTTGCATCCTAAAAGGTTACCATAGAGTTACGTGTGAAAACAGTTTAGAAACAAATAACTCCTATCTTTTTATGGCATAAAAAGAAACAAATAATAGTGACAAATTAAGCAAAAATATACTGGAATAGAAAGACATGGAAAGGGAATGTGATTTGTACTAGTCTTCCATAAGACTAGAGGAACCGCACAAAAACCAATCATTGGACATTGATTCCAAGCCAACTTGTTTCAATATTCAAAATAACTCCTATCTCTTTGTTACTGATAGGAACTCAGGGAGACCGAGTACCTAAAGATACAAAGAAAAGAAGAGAGAGAGAGAGAGAGAGAGAGAGAGAGAAGAGTGCTTTGTTATTACAGTATCCTGAGTCAAGGACTGTGACCTCCTCCAACGGAGCAATGTGCTCGGTTACAAAGTGTTCCCAAAAAATGCCATCCCATACAATTTCCGCTACTTATCCGCTTAACTACCTAATTGCCATCCTGACTGACTGTCTTCCTTACTTTCCTAACTAACTTGACGGTTCCTCTTATTTTTGCTAGCATACACTCTCCCAAAATCTTTCCAAAAATCCACCATCATGCTCTCAGTACACCCATCCAAGTTCAGCAATAGAGCTAACTTTAAAAAGAGTTCACAGCTGAAGCATAAACAGTTCTGATTTTGACAAAAAGCTGGCACCTAATGGCAAAGAGCTAAAAAGTCTTGGATTTTCACAGATGAAGGCCTTATATCTTAGGTCTCTAACATAAATAAGATCCCAATTCCGATGTCCACAGCCCAAGTTAAGAACAAAATAAAGGATACAGCTAGAAACAAAACAGCATGCAGTTCAGACAAAACTATGCACAAAATTTAAAGCAACCCACATTTTGATATTGTACAAAACCAGCTGCTAGATGTTAAGACAGAAATCAATAATTTTGAAGCATAAGTCAAGGTCATACAACTCAGGATAACAAAGAATGCTGCTCAAAACTCTCATCACGAGAAACAATTCCATGAAATTGATTCACAACAGCCCCAAACCTCAAGCACTTGATGCTAAACTTGCACTTTGACCCCCTGAACAACATTTAATCAAGAAAGCCAAAATTCTGTTTACATGTTATCATCCCCAGATTCAGCTTCAATGAATTAAACATGATCCAGTACCAAGAAAAACAAGTACATAAAGATGCTAACAGAACTAATAGAACAAGCTCTCCTTTGAGAAGTTCTCAGCAACACAAAAGACCAAACTAAAAGTTACATTTAGCAATGGCTGAAGGCATTCTATGTCATTGTCAACTTGTCCTCCCAAGAACTAATAAAAAAATGTGTATCCTGATGGGTCCAAGAACTAACCACATCACAGTTTAGAACCAAATCAATGAGGCAGAAACGGCAAAAACCATTCCCTCCTTTCTTTTAAAAAAGGCTACCTCAGAGGCCATTTATCAAACACCTTACAAGCAATTACAACAAATGAACCCAAGCTGAACCCTTCTCCTAAAACAGTTGTTTAGACAAAGATTTTCGCAAATATAATCGTTTCCCATTATTCACCTCAGACACATGATTCATGCAGCAACAAGAAATAAATAAAATAAATAAATAACAAAATAAAAAAATCAGGCATAAGATGAATCAATATACAAGACCACAATTATCATATTTCAACAAATCAATAGCATAAATTTTTCTACTGATTTAACAAAAAGACATAGCATGGGTGAGGTTTCTGAGATTCACCTTATAGAAGAGCGTAGAACAGAATAGCAGAGGGAAGTGATACTCTTGCGTGATGGGGGTGCGAATTAAATTTGATATGAATATAATTTTTATTACAGTGCGCTTCAGATGGTACGCAGTGACGTTCAGGTGGACTAGTCTTTGGTCCAATTTTCGGTGCAAATGATTTAAAATTGTGTCAGACCATTGCACAGATAGATGCCCTACAAAACTATTATATCAGATACCAACTTAAGAATTTTGCGACCATAATTTCAGTATTTTTATATAATTTCATTTGCAGCAAGTATATTTACACGAGGATCTTAGCATTTAAAATAAAAAAAAAGTCATGCAAATCTTAACTTTCTATGTATTATTTCAAAATGTATTATCTGGATTGACATAAGAAGTATATATATATATATATATAATTTATAGTTTTTTAAGTCACTTTAGATAACTTTATCTTGGATCATTAAATTATAACTTTATTTACATCGTACTATAAGCAAATAAATAAATAAAAAATATAATATTAGGGTGAACGAAGATAAATATATCTTAAATGATTTGAGAAATATTTTCCTCATATATATATATATATATCATTAACCATAAAATAAGAGTAGGATAAATGGTAATAGATGAATATTTTTTTATTTTTAGTAAATGGTGTATATGGAGTATTCAGAATTATGAGAGTACTCAAAATATTTTTTAATTTTGAATCACTTTTTTTTTGGAAGAAAATCTTATTAGTAAAGCTTGAACTTTCAACTCATCATATTCATCATGAAGTTTTAGCTTCTGTAACGTCTGGTTGCTTCAAGAATCAATGATTATCTCCACATACTAACACGAGACTTTTCAATGTGCTTTTTCCTCACTCGTACACTTTCCGGGAAAACTTCCCAAGAAGTCACCCATTCCAGAATTGCTTCAAGTCAAGCACGCTTAACTATGGAGTTCTTCTGTTCCGGGCTACCGAAAAGCAGATGCATCTTGTTGGTATAGGTAGAACCAATTAATTCTTATAAGTTATCCCAAACTGTGCAGTCTCATACCTGCACAGTCTTTGGAATCCCTCACTTTCGGGTGTCGATTCAATTCATTCATGCATGTAACCCCCATTGGAAGCCTGTCATGAGCCGCTCCTTGTCCGTGCCTCTTTGCACCGGCGATCACTCCCCGCCCTCGTCAGCGCTCGGGATGTTACATACCCACCAGCTTCCGCCTGGTTCGTCCTCGAACCACACCGTACTGGAAGAGAGGCCCTCCTCTGATACCACTCGTATCGCCTAGCCGCTTCAAGAATCAATGGCTATCCCCACACACTAGCACAAGACTTTTCAGTGTGCTTTTTCCTCATTCGTACACTTTTTGGGAAAAATTCTCAAAAGGTCGCCCATCTCAGAATTGCTCTAAGTCAAGCACGTTTAACTATGAAGTTCTTTCGTTCCGGGCTACCGAAAAGCAGATGCATCTTGTTAGTATAGGTAGTACCAATTAATTCTTATAAGTTATCCCAAACTATGCAGTTTCATACCTGCACAGTCTTTGGAATCCCTCTCTTTCGGGTGTCGATTCGATTCATTCATGCATGTAACCCTCCACTGGAAGCTTGTCAGGAGCCACTCCTTGTCCGTGCCTCTTTGAACCGGCGATCACTCTCTGTCCTCATCAGCGCTCGGGATGTTACAACTTCCAATGTTTTTTTTATGGATTTTGCTCGGATACCCTTATTTTATTTTTTCAGCTATTGATATTTTATTTTATTTTAAATACCAACCGGTTTCGAAATCCCAATGGACTTTACTAATTGGATTTTGGATTTAAGTAATTTTACCTCTTAAAAATTGTGGTTCTCGGGAATCAAATCTATCATCATTTGAACAGATAAATTCTAAAATTTAGCTGGGACGTCATTAGACTAATAACTCTTGATTTAAGATATTTTGATAAGCTATGAAATATTGATAGTTAGTTCTCGCAATAAATAGCTTAGAAGTATTATTAACAGCTAAAAATAACATTCATCTGAGCATAAACAGTAAAATAAAATGATAATAAAGTAATTCTAAGCCAATAGAAATGAATTAATAGTGAGGTATTTAAGTAGTTTGTATTATGTTATTAGTTAAAAATTTAGTATCATCATTATATTTAAAAAAATCTCAATTCTGAAGTTCTTGCTAATCAATTATGATCAATATATATATATATATATATATATGGGTTTGATTTTCTCATGTTGCATGAGAATTGAATTCTTATGTTGTGACTCAATTAGTAGTAGGTCTCATATTTATTAAAAGGAGAAAAAAAAAAAAAAAACTTTGTAAGTAAATTAAAAGGTCACAACATGATAATTAAATTCTCATGCAATATGAAAAATTGTTTTTTTTCATATATATATATATATATATATATATATATATATTGGTTAAAAAATTCTGATCCATCTTTGGCCTTTGTGATATTGACAACCTTGTACGATTTTTTATTTGCAACAACTGAGAGAATGTGAAGCCAAGCGAATAAGACAAAATGAAAATTGCCAAAGAGTGTAATAAACTGTTTAGGAAAAACTGTTTATCGTTTTAAATGATTTAACTGTCATTTTACTCTCACAAAGAGGTGAGACCCACACCTTTATATTTTTTTGTCTATTCTCTCTTCTTTTATCTATCGTTTTCTCTCAATTAAAATGACACAAATTTACATCGTTTAAAATAATTTACGTTTTTCCCAAACTATTAATATGGAAATACTATCCACCATAATTGCTTTAATTTTTTTTGGTAGACACGAGACATGCTTTTTAGTGTTTATTTAATATTATTTGTCCATTTGTTTTATTATATGTTCAATTCAAACCTTGGAGAATCAACCCCCCCACGTTAGATTCCCTGCACAGCTATATGGAGAAGAGTGAGAGTAAGGGTACACTGGACATAGGGAAGGGCCATTTGTTTTTCTCACTTTCAAAGGGTACACCTAACCCTGGAGTTGTAGTTGAAGCAGAAGGGCCTTTGCATTTTTGTTTTTTCTTTCACCATTCAGCTTAAAATGGTTGAAAGCTGAGGTAATTTCAATGGTTTCAGAACACAAAGTGTTAAGGTTGGTTTATTAACATGAGACTTTCTAACAGTTACTTACACCAAAGAGGTAGGCAAGACCAAAGCTTGAAGTTGAAACTCATCTCCAAAACTTTCACATTCAATCACATTTGAATGCTTTATAACTGACACCATATCTGTACTAGTTGTGCAAGTGCTATTGGTGAAACTGTGCTGCACCACATGCACACACTTCATGTGTATGAGTTTCTTTTTTCCTATTGAGTTGCATTGTTGTAGGGTCATGGTCAGAGCCACACAGACACAGTATTCAGGTTTTCTGTTTCCTTGCAGCAAATAATGGTTCTTTTGAAAACCTACCCATATGACCCACATAAACACTAGACAATAGGCCATTGCTTATTAAGAAAAAAATGTTGTAGGGTAACACATTAAGTGTACCTATAGTGAGATCTAGCCTAAGAAGCCACTATCATAGTGCACTTGTTTGCCATCTTTGAAAGTTCTTATCTATCATCCATGGACAGTGAAAGAGAAGACAATCAAGTCATCAATGGAATACACCCTGCAATCTCTAGCACACTTACAATCAAGATTGGAAGCAGCAGCAAACAAGGTGAAGAGAGTTTAGACCATTCAAATTTACCTTCACCAAACATAAAGAACTCAATAGAATCATCATCATCTTATGGTTCTCCTCTTGTGTCCCCTCCTTCATCTGCATTTGTTTCAGCATTGCAGTCACCTTATATATCTCCAAGGGCCATAATCCCAAAGCCCCCAGATGGGTCTATCTTAGAAAACCCACCACTACCAACAACAACAACAACAACCACCACCACCACCACCCATCCTTCAACCCCAGAAGATGTTCCAAGTAGTTCCTACACACCCCCTTCTGATCTATACGAGTATTCTGATGACACTGCTGATACAAAGCTCAAATTTGTGACTTGTGTTCCAGTCCCTGAAGCAGCTCCTCCACGCATCTCATTCTCATTTCCAGTACCTAGAATCTCCTTTGCAAAGGGTCCTGTTTCCCCTGCTTCCAATGCCAAACTCAGAAGCTGTGATGTTTACATTGGATTTCATGGCCAAAATCCCAACTTGGTGCGCTTCTGCAAGTGGCTTAAGTCTGAGCTTGAGCTTCAAGGGATTGATTGCTTACTTGCTGATAGAGCAAAGTATTCAGATAGTCAAAGCCATGAGATTGCCGATAGAGTCATTTGCTCGGTGGCATTTGGATTGGTGGTTGTTACAAGTTCAAGCTTCCTCAATCATTTAAGCATGGAGGAGGTTAGATTCTTTGCTCAAAAGAAGAACTTGATCCCTCTCTTATTTGACATAGGACCTGATGAAATTATGGCTCTTCTTAACTGCAACTCAATTGATAAAGAATGTAAAGAGGCAATTGATGGACTCATGAAGTGCAATGAATTCAATCTAGAGGCTAATGATGGTAATTGGAGAAGCTGCATATCAAAAGTTGCTGGTATTTTAAGAGCAAGACTTGGTAGGAAGAATTCTGAAATGAAGGATAATATGCAAGGATTTGAGAATTTACCTTTCCCAAGGAACACATACTTTGTTGGAAGAGAGAAGGAGATTATGGAGATTGAAGGTCTTTTTTTTGGACGTGGGAATTGTATGGAACAAGTCCAAGATCATTGCAGGACAATGATCAAAGGAGAAGCCAGTGGCAGTGGTCAATCTGAAGGCCTTGCAGATGAAGAAAGTGAACCAGTGATAGGTAGAGGTGGTGGGAGGTATATTAGTCTAGAGATGGGGAGGAGCAAAGAACCAACTTTAGAGGCTTGGGTTGAACCAATCATAGGGAACAATTCATTGAAGAGGTTGAAGAATAAGAAGTCAAAGAGTGGAAACTATAAGAGCTTGTGTAGTAGTGTGGTTTGCGTTAATGGAGTTTCTGGTATTGGGAAGTCTGAGCTAGCACTGGAATTTGCTTACAGATATTACCATAGGTACAAAATGGTCTTGTGGGTTGGTGGTGAAGCTAGGTATCTTAGACAGAACATATTGAACTTGTCTCTCAACTTGGGATTGGATGTTGGTGCTGATTCTGAGATGGAAAGAGGAAGAATCCGTAGCTTTGAGGAGCAAGAATTTGAAGCATTCAAGAGAATCAAGAGGGAACTGTTTGGGGAGACACCTTACTTACTGATAATTGATAATCTTGAGACTGAAGAGGAATGGTGGGAAGGGAAGAATCTATATGACTTGATACCAAGAAACACAGCAGGGACACATGTGATTATTACTACTAGGTTGTGCAAAGTAATGAACTATGATACTATTCAGCTTCCGCCTTTGTCATTATCTGATGCAATGATTCTGATAAGAGGAAGAAAAAGGAAAGAGTATCCAGCAGATGAGATAGATTTTCTTGAAATATTCAATGAGAAACTTGGAAGGTTGAGCTTTGGTTTGTGGATGATTGGTTCATTGTTGTCTGAACTTGCAATTGACCCCTCTGCTCTCTTTGAGGCCATAAGCCAGGTACCACTCAATGAAGATTCAAACTCTTGTTATATGAGCATTGCAGAAGAGCAATGGTGCAAGAGCAATCCTTTCCTCATGAAGACCCTCCTTTATTGTTTGGGAACTTTGGAGAAAACTAAAGCAAAAGGGAACCTCCTGGCTATAAGAATGCTTCTTGTTAGTGGATGGTTTTCCCCTTCTCCCATTTCAGCCAGTTTGCTAGTCAATGCAGCAAAGAGTATCCCTATAGTTGAAAACCCTCTCAAGAAGTGGAGCAAATATCTAAGCCTAACATCTAGTTGTTTATCATCAAGGACATGGAGAAATGAAGAAGATTCAGCAATGCTTCTTGTGAAAATGGGACTGGCTAGAAGGGGCAATCAACATAATGGATGTTGGCTCCATTTCCATCCCATAACACAAGCATTTGCTAAAAGAAAAGGTGGTTTGGAATATGCCAAGGCTTCCATTCAAGGAGTAAGAAAAATGGGTAACCTTGTAAACTCAGATCATTTATGGGCATCAGCTTTCCTTGTTTTTGGCTTCAAATCTGAACCCCCACTTGTGCAGTTAAAGGCAATTGACATGGTTTTGTACATCAAAAGAACAGCTCTTTCCCTTGCAATTCAAGCCTTCACCACTTTCTCAAGATGCAATTCAGCTTTGGAGCTCTTAAAGGTATGCACCAATGCACTGGAGGAAGTTGAGAAGTCCTTTGTCTCTCAAATCCAAGATTGGTCCCATGACTCAATTTGTTGGAAAAGGAGGTTTCAAAGAAGCCAAAAAGTGGATGAATATGTATGGCAGGATGTGACCTTATTGAAGGCAACACTACTAGAGACTAGAGCAAAGTTGCTAGCAAGAGGGGGGCATTTAGACAGTGGAAAGGAACTATGTAGAACATGTATCAGTATCAGAACTGTTATGCTTGGCCATAATCATCCCCAAACCTTAGCTGCTCAAGAGACATTGGCAAGGTTGGTGAGAATGAGGAGTAAGATATGAATATGTATGTTTGTTTTGCTTCACCTTGTGTCTTCTCCATTACATTTAAACTTCATACAAGACACCACATGTAGTGGTGGTGTAATGTTACTGTGTTAATGCACTAATGTTCCTTCCTTGCCTCCTTAACAAAAAGCATTAATGTGGTAATGATGTACTTCTTGTTAGAGGACTTTATTGTAATGCTGGTGAAAACTATACTGTCAATGGAAAATTTAGTGGTTAGCTTAACATGTTGCTTTTTAATTGAATTTATGTTACTCTAATGCAAAAATTAATCAATAAAAATTCCATTATAATATTTCATTAATATTATTATTAATATTTATGTTATTAATAATAATAACAATAACTTTAATAATTAGGTTATTTATTTAATTTATGATTTATACTATTATCTATTAATTAGTATTAACTATAGATATTAATTAATATTAATAAATGAGTAAAATAAGAGAAAAAAATGAATCAAATAATATCAGAATCCAACCCTCCACACAAAAAAAAAAAAAAAAACAAAACAAAAAAAAAAACAAACAGAAAACTTCTTTGATTCTAACATATCCAGTTGATAATCTTTTCATTCTGAAATGAAAATAGAAGAAACCATACTTTCATACAATATCTTAATTGATTTTACGTAATGATCAATAATTTAAATTTAATTCTATATGGCTATCAAAAATAAATAAATTAATTCTATATCTTCACATATCAAAATCCTAGCAACAATTTATTCTATAGAAACTTTTAAACTGAAATTAACAAACAACTGATATCAATAATATTTATTAGTATCCAATTGGGGCGTGCCAAACGATTAGGCAATGGGTTTGAATTGAGCAAGGGTTGAGGAACTTTTATGGAAACATTGAATTGATCAACAAAATTATGTTTGATTACATTTTCTCATAGTCTTTCATTATTTAATTGGAATAGGTAGCAACACAACGGCAAAAAAATTAAAATAATGTAATTAATTAAAATAATTACGCATTTAATGCTGTTTTGTTAAAAATTACATATATGTTGCACAATGAGACGCCCTCTTTGGGCGTCACATGTGACGCCCAAAGAGGGCGTCTCATGTGCAACCTATATATACCCCACTTTCCTTTTTTCACTCCTTACTCATTTACCTCTCTAACCTCTCTCCAACCTCTCTCTAACCGCGGTTCGTAGCGAAGCTCTGCCAACGTAGGTAAGGTCATAATATCTCATATGTATACATTTAAATTACAGTGCTAGTTAGTAATGCATGTTAGGATTGATTGTATATTAGAGACTTGGAACATTAGGATAGTCACTTAGAAATTTTGTGTCATGCTATGAATGTTGTAATGATATAGTAATATTATTATTACGTAGTTATTATTATTACCGATTTTTAATTATGTATTCGGGTTTAGCATATTAATTAGTGATTTATAAATAGTGTTAGAGACTTTGTAAATTTCGTATGTATGATGTTATTAATGCGGGAGTGCATAACTTTGTAGTTAGTTGAGGATAATGGCTGAGTCATCATCTTCTTCGGGATCTGATTCGGATGTAGAGCCCACCGATCCCAGCATGTGGATCATACCTGGGCCCTACAGGTGGGAGGTCCTTCGTCAGAGGACGCAGAAAGGTCATATTTCACAGCGAGTGTGGAGTACTGAGCATGTAAGAAAGATTAAGACTAGGCGTGGGAAGCCACAAGGGGGCCCACCTACCGGTGCTATTCCACAGGTTGTGGAAGAGTACCTCAGACAGGCGGGTTTCATACATGTTGCCAGGATGCAACATATCCAGGTATGTTATTTATGTCGTTTTGTATTTATGTAAATATTTAATAAAATTATTTAACACGTGATAACTGCGTAATTTATCACAGATAGATACATTTTTAATTAGTGCTCTGGTCGAGAGGTGGAGACCAGAGACACATACCTTTCACATGACCCAAGGTGAGATGACGATCACCTTACAAGATGTGGCAGGCATCTTGGGCTTGCCGACCGACGGTACTGTCGTCATCGGATCGACCTCTGAGGATTGGCACGCTGCTTGTGCTGCTGTTTTTGGACATGTTCCAGAGGCCGGTGAGTTCCATCATTCCGGCGACCTCCGCATCTCATTCTTGGATCGGCATTATACCCGGTGGACTGATCATGAGGGGAATCATGCTGCCGAGATCTACTTCACAAAAGCCCACATTGCCCGGATGTTGGGGACTTGGTTGCTGGCGGACAAGTCTGGAGGTAGCAATTTTGGTTGCCGGCTTGTCCCGTTGCTAGGTGGAGGATTTGAGGACATTGGCCGATTCAGCTGGGGATCTGCAGTTTTGACACACTTGTTCAGGAATTTGTGTGAAGTGACAGATGCCCGTCGAAGCGACATGGGTGGTTGCCATATTCTCCTTCAAATTTGGGCATGGATACGATTCCCACCCATTGCTCCACCCCTTCCTCCTCATCCAGAGCCGGGCACACATTATGGATGCCGGTATGATTTATTTACTTCATTTGATTTCGATAATGTATATACTAACTGTATACTTCTTGACTTTGGACGATTATGTATGGTTGATAATGTTTCTGATTGACAGGTTTAATGTTGTACAAAAGTTTAAACCTCATGAGGTCACCCATTATCGGGCAACATTGGACACACTCTGTAGAGATGAGGTTTGGTGTTAGATACTTACGGTGTTGTTATTTTTCTATGGGTTTAATTTTTTTTTGTAACTCTATATATTGTTTCACATTTTGTTTGTAGGTGGTGTGGCAGCCATATATAGAATATTAGTGGCTTGACGTGACTCTAGAGCAGCAGTATCTGTGGCTTGCTCCCACACCTATTATCTACTTCCACACAGTTGAGGAATGTCAACTGGATAGGTGCATGCAACAGTTCGGTCTTAATCAACCCATCCCGGAAAAATCTAGAAAATTGAGAGGAATACATGATCATACTCTACGGGGGAAGGTTGAAGAGAATTGGAGACGTAAGCTCAGGGTTCATATTGATCGATGGAATACCAGGATTCAGCATATTGTACTGCCACCTCCATTATATGGTTTGATGTCACCTAATCATGCGTACATGGAGTGGTACAGAGAGAGGGGAAAGCGCTACATATCTCGGAGGGCAGCAAAGATAGGGCGCATGGTGAGTTTTGTACTTATTTTACATTTGTTTCAAATTTCTAACATTTTTTCGTAATATGCAGATTGACGGTCTTGAAATGCTTTATCATGGAACAACGGCGGAGGAGTTTCCTCGATTTGGACTACAATATATCCACGAGGAGATAGGCCGGATTATTGGGATGTTTCATGAGAGTTCACGAGTTGATGAGCTTGGACTTGAGGCACCCCCCGTGCAGACTCAGCTTGATCCTCAGTTGATCGTGGATGTTCCTCGTAATAGACGGGAGGGACGCGGATTAGGACGTACACGTGAGAGAGTTGCTGCTGAGCCTGTCCCGATTATGGCACCTAGACCAGTGGTCGAGACTCAGGGATGGTTTAGACCTCCAGCATTTGGTCCTACTTACAGGTCACAGCCGATTTATCATCACGGATCGCAGTATGCGGCAGGTCCTAGTCAGGCGGCGTCTGAGCACCCTTCTTGTGGAATACCAAACGGAGCAGACGCAACGTCATTCAACTGCGGCATTTGCGCGACGACTGGTTGATGGAATATTGGAATTTCAGACGCACCCATCTCACGAGATTCATCTCCTTCTGAAGCACTAGCATCCTCCGCCAGAAGATGTTCTTCCATTGCCATATTTTCATCGTCATCTTCGTCGTGCATTTCCCAAGTCGGATCATTTTCATCTCCCTCAGAAAAGTTACCAACTAGAGACGCATGAGCGGCAGGAGAAGCTGGAAGACGGGGAGAATTTAAATAAACTGACCTCACCGGTATGGGAGCATTCTCCGTTGCGACGATGTCGACATACAACTCTAGAAAATCTGTCCTTGACTGGTTGCAAAATTCTTCCATTGTCATCTCCAAGTCTTCATCGTCAAGCACTTTCAAACTAATGTATTTATCACCTTGCCACACCCTTGTCGTGATCTCAGTGATACATTGGTTGTCTTGAAGACTTAACTTCTGCCGAATTCTCTGATGCAGTTCGCCAATGGTTGTGTTGCGTTGGATACGTGTCGGCCTTTTTTCACCTTCGAATATGACACCTCGTCAACTTTCTACCTTCCTACCATTGTAATATAACACAATACGAACAGAATCAGGATTTGAGCTCATTTTTAAATAGAATTACAACTAAAATTCAAATACTAAATTAAAGATAAAGGAATGGTGGTGGAGAAGAGAGATATGAAGAGTGAGAGAAGAGGTGTGAATTGAATGGAGGGGGTGAGGAAATATATAGAGCACACATGTGACGCCAGTATTGGGCGTCACATGTGACGCCCAAAACTGGCATCACATTGTGCAGTAGATGTGTAATTTTTTACGAAACAACATTAAATGCATAATTATTTAATTTAAATACATTATTTTAATTTTTTTTGCCGCAACACAACATATATAACACATTGATTAACGAGGAGCGTTATTCTTATAATCTCTTACAACTTATTTTTTCATCGTTGATTTCCGTCAATTCAACGGTTATGATTTATTGGATCATATTTATTAATTAATTATTAATTTTTAATAAATTATAACCATTTAATTGATAAAAATCAATGGTAAAAAGTAAATTATAAAAGATTATAAATTTTTTAGGTTGTAAAAATAACAATCCTCTTAATTAACATGTCCACGTCTAAGTATTGTGCTATAAAAGATACTCGCCTTCTGTTTACAACCATATTATGTCTACGACTTAACTAATAGAAGTATGGAGTCTAAATAATAATTTTCTACGATATTACAACAAAATTCATTGAAGTACATTAGAAAAATATCTTTCGGTGTGTGTTTTGAACTTAGGATAATAATTTGGATCATATTAGATGCAAACCCTATATGGCACATTACTATCAAACCTATTTTTCATAATTTCCCTTTTCATCCAAACCCAAAATTCAAGAAAATTCCTGTGCTGCATCACTCTAATAATCAGTATTATAAAAAACAGACCAACACTTGACTCGGAAACGGAACCCCTAACCAATCCAATTCATTCATTGAATCGGTCAAGCATTTGACATGATATGAAACTAGTGAACTAATTTCGAACTGGGTAATCGATATTAAATCGACACCGATTTTTAAATTAAACCAGTTCTATAAAATTTTGGGCAAAATGCTTGAAACGTATTAATGCTAGGAATCAAACCTAGAACATGAGAATTAGAACTTTAACACTTACCACACTATTTGTTGGACATAATGCTTCTAATTTTATATTTATTATGTATTATTATATATATTGAATTTAAGGAGTTAAATACTTAAATCATTAACCCACTTGTTGAAGCGATAATTCATTGACCCAACACCCTGACTCAGTCGATAACTGATTCGACTTTGATAACACTGATAAGAATGATGCATTCTTGCATGGTCAATGATGGAACCCAAAATATTCAACAACAAAGATAACAACAATTGAATAGTAAAATACTTCCATTATCTCAATATTCATCACAGAGACACTAATTAGTAAGCATAACAAAGAGGTAACAGGAAATACAAAGGAATAACAAATAAAACACCTAAAAACCTCACTCACTCTCAAGTCAAAATACCTAGGCCAAAGAGATCCCAAGAGATCCTTTCCAAAACCCAATTCACCAAGATACTCAATATCCTCCTATCACCTTACACACACTCCTTTTATTCTACACTTTAAGAATATTCTAGAATAGTTTCCCTAACAAATTAGCTAATTCATTAACTAACTTTGCATTGCTGAACTTGGGCCCACTAGGCATAGCCCATCAATACTCCCCATTCAAAATTCACCTTGTCCTCAAGGTGAGGAAGAGAATAGGGGATGTAATTGAACATCCACAATGATCCCATTGCTTGAAGAACATTGATCCCGTCATTCTTGAAACTGAAATATTGTCGGATCCCCTTGCCCCCTTGTCTCCATTCTGCATATATCTGGCCATGAAATAGGGTATATCTCCATATTTCCCATGCCTTGTTTTTTTCTTTTTTTGCTAGCCCATTCCAAACAAAAATTTCGGGCCACAATCATCGTTTTTCAAGCCTAAATATGTCTGGTCGTGTAACCCCATGGTGAAACCCATTGGGTCTGAGCCAAATGAGCAGCTCAGTAATTTGAACGTTACTCCATCACCATCCACAACATCAATCCATCGTCTTTGTAAGTTTCCAAAGCTCAGTAGAACTTCCGCCGCTGGCAGCCACCGGAATCGCGTGCGCCTGTCACTTCCGTCATCGTTCTCTGCAGTCAGTCGTCGGAAACTCGCTTCTCGCCTGTCACCGTCGTTTGTTGCCTCTGACGACCCTTCTTGTTCATAACCCAGCCCCTCGTTCTTTCCGTTCAAGTCCAGCTCCTCTTGAGTTAGTCTTCTAAAAACTTGTTCCCCGACGTACGTCTTGGCCACCTGCTCTTGTCGCCGTCTCGTTTGTCGTCGTCGCCGTTGCATTCGTCTCTGTTCTTCGTCCCTCCTCGCATGCATCTCATTCTTGGCTTTTAGGGTTCGTGCCTCCCCCATTTGTAAACTATGACTGTGCTGGACCTCCATTCTGAGTTGTCTCTTGTTGGATTAATTGATTGGCTTCATGTTGGGCTGATACCTGCGGCCCACTTCGTCCCTGTAGTGCTCCCCCAAATGGCCCAATTTGAGTGTCTCTATTGATGAGAGCTGGACAATCCAAAAATCCGAATCCAAATCTTGACCCGGTTCCCATCTTACCCACATACGACCTGTTTTTTCCCAAAATACCTAGGCCAAAGAGTTCCCAAGAGATCCTTTCCAAAACCCAATTCACCAAGATACTCAATATCCTCCTATCACCCTACACACACTCCTTTTATTCTACACTTTAGAAATATTCTAGAATAGTTTCCCCAACAAATTAGCTAATTCACTAACTAACTTTGCATTGCTAAACTTGGGCCCACTAGTCATAGCCCATCAGTCAATTTTTTTTAGAAAGATCTAAATATAGCTTGAGTTGGTTCAAACAAAATGGAACAAGCGCTATTAAAAGATTTAAATACAGGTTAAAAGAAGGGTTTATTGTTTCTCAATTTATTCTCTATACATACATAAAAATGTGTGAAGCCCATATTTTTTCTTTTTTTCTCTTCTCATATGGACCCACATAGGCTCCACACACTTTTATGTATTTATAGGAGATAAATTTATCTCTTACTAACATAAGAAACAATAAACCCTTAAAAAATGAGACTTTAAAATAAAACAAAATTAATACCACTAAAAGTAAAAAATAACTATTTCAACATTGTTTCCCAAAGCACAAAAACCAAATTTCACAACCTCCTTATAGTGGTGAGACTATCCAACAGAAACACAAAATTTGTGTATCAGCAAACATTATAACTCCATGTAAGAAGTAATATATTTACAATGCTTGGGTGGCAGTTGCATATCATGAATATTTTTTTAAAAAAGAAATTAGTAGCCACCAAATCAAATTGGATTCGCAATTCACAATCAAAACTCCAAACCTTACCACCAGCCATTGGTTCAAAGATTTTGCTCTCTTAACCAGAGATCTAGAATTCAAAACTTAAAAATGAAGAAAATAATGTTAAGAGAGTCGTTGCCTATATAGATCCGACAATGTTCGAATTGGATTAATTCTTGTTGAAAAATCAAAAATAAAATAAAAAAACACAAGTCATTAATGGGCTTGCGATCCATACTAGGATGTCTATTCAAAGCCATTTTATCAAATATTCCCTGCTGATAGCCAAGTACATAAGCGAATGTAGTACAATGGGAAATTTTACAATTTGGCTAATCTAAATGCCAGGTAGTGATGCAGATACATTAGAAAGAGATTACATAACATCAGACAGGATTGGATTCAGCTTATATAATTCCAATCAGGAGACAATTTATAAGAAAGAAAAAACAAAAGCAGCATTTCACTTTCATGTAAAGATAGTGACTTTAACAGAGGGGATCCTTTTGATTAGTACGAAGCATACCACTACATAATGTCTCCTGAGGGATTTGAGAGACAACAGATTAGAAGTGTTTCTGAAAATCCTGTGATGGCGGCTGCTCCCATGGCCGCATAAAGCCTGTACAAAAAGCAATAGTTAAGGTAAACAGGAAAAATATGAAACCCATTACAGGAATCTGCACACTAATATTTTATTTCATTGCTCAATATTCTATTTCTGCAATTGATATGGCAATAACATCCTGGTCACACTTTTCCAAAATACTAATTGCCTCCAAAAAGAACACAGTTCCCTAAAGTTAAACATCTATCTGAAGGATAACTGACAATAACTGCATATGTAAAGTCCATAACTTGGATATGTCCTTATTCTTCATATAGAAGTCTTTTTCTTGGTGCTCCTTTTATATATTTGAGGATGAAAATCACATCATTCCAATTGCTTTGACATGGAGCCCGTAGGAACTAACTGACCATGCTTACAATAGAAAATAGAGCGATCTTCCTCATTATAAACCATCCCAACCTGCTGAATAACTATGCTAAATCTCCCAAACCAAGCCTGCAAAGACTATCTTAAAC